TTACCTTCTTGTCTTGTTTGTTGTCCTGAGCCGATGGTCTATCAGAAACAACTTCTCTATCCCATCGGGTAAGGGTAGGGTCTACGTACACACTACCTTCTCCATATCCCTCACTTGTGAGATTTTACTCGGTTATTGTTGTTGTTAAATCTTACCTTTTCTTGTCTCTTTATGTTCATTTGATTTGAGAATGGAATGGAATTGGATTGTAATATGGAAGGCAATTGCTAGTGTGATAAGACGACGGATGATATTTTAAGGACCCGATTTTGATATAGTATATTTTTGCATAAATTATTATCGTGGCCATTTATCACATAATATAAACTATTTGCTTGGACAAACACAAATGGCAGGTATATGCTGTTGTTACTTTATACTTAGTAATGCAAAGTCAAAGATTTTTTCATGGTCCCTTTTATTTCTTTGTCTTTTGTGGCAAGCCACGACCTTGAAAGTGGCGAGCTGTGGAAATTCATGTCCTTTCTCATGTAGAAGCCATAGCTGGAATTTTAGTCTTTGCTTATACTCTATCTTGTAGGAAGACTAAAAAGTTGGGAAAATAGCAAAAAAATTGGCCCATCACCACCAGAACATCCAGGTGCTTGGCCAATTATAGGCCACCTCCGATCCCTCAAATACTAAACAGCACTTAGACGGCGGCAACGGCAGTGGCAGCGGCGGTGAAATTACTCTAGCTCATACTTTAGCCGCGTTAGTGGCCGGGGCGAAGCTACGTTCAACCAAGGGTGGTCAATGACCACCCTTCGCCGGAAAATTATACTCCGCATAAGGTAAAATATTACTTGTTATTGATTAAAAATAGACTTTGAATACCCTTACATAGCCCACTGGTAAAGGTTTGAACACCCTTATTGAATTTTTTGGTTTCGCCACTGGTTAGCGGATAAATACGGCCAGATTTTCACTCTCCGTCAAGGAATGTTCCAAATAGCAGTGGTGAGCAGTTATGAAGCAATAAAAGATTGCTTCACTACAGATGACAAAAACTTAGCCAATAGGATAGCCACTTGTTCTTGTAAGTATTTAGGCTAAGATCATGCAAATCTTACATTTGCAAATTATGGCCCCTATTGGCGTATGGTTCGAAAATTGGTTGTTAATAATTTGTTGTCGACTAAGAGTTTGGGGAGATTGAAGCATGTTCGAATCTCAGAAGTGGAGAACAACGCCAAAGAGTTATACACTCTAATTGTTGCTAATATAATGCAAATAATGCACCTACTAAAGTTGATACTGGCCATTGGTTCGATGATATGATGTTAAACGTAACAGTGAAGATGATTGGTGGAAAGAGTAAATATTGGCGAATTCAGAATTTAAAATAGATTATTTTTGGGAAAAAGGTCCAAAATTCTCACTCTACTATACTATATTGTTTACTTCTGTCACCCGTTATACTATTCGTCCAATCTAGCCCCTACCGTTAATGAACTTTTAAAAATTGCCCCAAACCCTAACGGATCTACACTGTGACAGCTGACCCCTTCAATTTTTTTCACGTCAACTGCCAAGTCACTCGAGCCCACCAAATTAAAATCCCATAGACACCTTTACATCCTCCATTGACGAAGAATTAGGGCTCACACAACCCTAATCCAATTTTCCTCGGCCCTCAATGTCGCAAGGAAGTTGTTCATCCCAAATTAGGTGTTGCTGTGATAATATTGCAAATTACTTCACTTCAACGACTCCATTAAACCCTGGAAGGAGATTTTATAAATGTCTGAAGCCTAAGGTTAGTGATGCTCTAACAAAAGCTAGTTTATTATCAGTTTGCTCTAAATTGTAGTGTACTAATAAAGCTTTTTGGGTCTTCTCTGCTTTTTTTTTTTTATTCGACAGAATCATTCTTGTGGTTATTTTGAATGGGAAGATGAAATCTTCTTGAACAATAATTTGGTTACAACCAAAGATTTAACATTGTCTTGGAAAATGATTAAAATTAATAGGGATAAATTAAAAGAAGAATTAATTGCCATGGAGGCTCTACACCAAGCTGAAGCTATAAAAGTAATGAAATTGGAAGAGTAGCTTTTGAAAACGAGGATGATACTTATGATTTCATGGGCAATTTTTGTTGGATTTGTTGTGGCGTCGATGATAAAGTGAATTTTTGTGAATCATGTGATGTCTATTGTTTTGATCTTTTTTTACTGAATATGTATATGTATTGTTTTTAGTTTCTTTCTGGTTTGAATAGTTGTTGGAGGCTTGTAGCCAACTTATGAGTCATAAATGGATATTGATCAATATTTTAGGTCATATTTTGATGTAATTAGGATATCTAATTGTAGATATCGACTTGTTGGTGATGTTTGAGCATTTTAATCAACATTGGAATGATGAAAGAGGATTGAAAGGTTGTGAATGTTAATAAAGCAAAAGTGAGGTAAGTTGATTAAATCTTACTCTTCTTCAGGGATTTTCTCTAAAAGTATGTTTCAAGTTAATGCTTAAGTTGTTTCCAAATGTGCTTTCGTGCTTGTGGGGACAAACAAGTATGGATGTCTCCATGTACTAAAATATTATGTTGTATATGTAGTCCATGTTGTTTTATAAAATTTTATTTTAAATCTTGTTAGCAAAATGACATTTAAGGTAAATGTTATAAGGTTTTATCAAAACTTACGTATTGATAAGAATACATATTTGTGTGCTGATAAGTTTTCATGGAAAGTATTTCTTTTAAAAATTGATAAATAAAATAGCATTTGTGGTATCCTTTTAAAGATTGATGTTAAATCGTTAAAGGCTTTAATATGTAAAATGTTGTTTATTTAATTTTTGTTCAAATGGTTTAGATTTTCCTATTAATTCTATGATTTGATAAAAAAATATATCCTTTGAGGCTACTACGCTATGAATCTATTTTTGGAGTATCAAATATTTTAGGAGTTATTTGTGTTAACCGAGATTGGCTTCGGATATATTGTGTTCGTTGTCATCAAACTATAGGTGTCGGTGTAGGCGTAGATGACCACTTTGTGGTATAGACTACGACAGCGTGCTCTCCCTCGAGAGGGTACTATTTTGTGCTATTATTAGCATGGCTGAGTCGATTCGTACGACACTACGATGAGACGACCTGAGCAAGTAGGGTATATGATACTTGCCGATAGGTACATAACGTAGTTGACCTTCTTGTGTCGATGATGATATAGTACTCCCAGTGAAAGGTAAGGATGATTTTCTTATGTTTAAGCCTAAGGAGCCGAAAGTGATTTCAATGACTTAAAGCAAATGGAATGATTTTGTATGATTTTATTCAAAATCTTGGATTGATATAAATATTTTAAAAGTTTATATTGTGGGTTATATTTTACTTATCTTTTATTTAAAATGATACAGATCACGAGTTGATAAAATTTCTTATCGTTTTATATCAAATATTGGTGCATTATTTTTATAAAGTTTGTCCCAAGAACTTAAGTTAGAGAGAGTTTATGACACGTATTGACTACCATCGTGGTGTACTCAGCCCTTAGGGGCCTCTCTTCAGGGTCTCATTTTCTTTGTGTTTCAGGATGAGGTGTGACATGTAATGTGTGGGCAGGATTAGGATGACTCTCTTTTCGAGGTACGATAAAGCATCACTTTTAGCTCGTGGTAGCTATATCATGTTATTTCTTATTTTCTTTATCGAAATTATTCCAAGTGGTAGTTCTATTCTTGGGTATAGAGGCTCCATAGATAGTTGTGTTGGATATAAAAATAGGGTTGTGGATAAATGAATAATTATTTAATTTGATTATATCATTTTTATAAAAAAATTCATGTAAGCTTTTGGAAATAAAAAAAAATATATTCTATGACTTGATTTAAAAATATACAAGATTTTCAATTGGCTTCTGCGATTATATTTGGTTTGATATATGGGTTGGTTCGTCCGGATCGGGTAGTGTGCCGTGTGCCAGACACGTGAATTTGGGTCGTGACAATTACCTTTGCACATCCTCAAGCATTGTGTCCAAGTTCACCACAGTTGCTATATGTCATTACCCTCTCTTTCCTTGACTGAGACCATTGCCTATTAATTTCCTTATTTTTTCCTCTTATTCTCCTAACCTTTGGTCTCCCATCCATCTTTACCAAAGGAGGTGGAGCCATGTATTGTGAAGGGTCAATTATCCAGAACTTTCTCCTCTTACTAGTTGTAACCTATGTAAATAAGTTAGGAGATAAGCCTTTTTGGTAAGGTACTAATGAATCTCACTTAGAGAGTCCACTTTCTTGTACAATAATGCACAGATGGCATGAGGACATGGAATGCCACAAAGATTCCATGCCCTGCAGGTACATTTCTGTAACCTCAGATTCACAATGTGCCTGTCACTACTTTCAGTCACCTCATATCCATTGTCTGCACTGCCATTCACATGACACTTCAATGCAATCCTCATGAATTGGTTGTACAACTCTATAGTTTTAGGACTGAACTCATTTTCCCATGTCATCACCTCAGCGTCATATTCATTAAGCATGTTGATCACCTTGATTCCAATATCCTCAAGCATCTTAATGATTGACTTGTGCCTTGCTTGTAGATCCATGCATTGAATGACTCAGTCAAGTTGTTGTCCACAGACTGGTTCTTGTAAACAGTATCAAAGAATGCCATACTCCAACATTTTAGTGGATGCTTTAACAAATCCTCAACAGCTTACTTTGCATCATCATCTACTTAACTCATACTCTTTATCTGATCTTAAAAGTCCTCTTCATAAGTACTCCATGCAGCTCACCAAAGAAATATTTTGTACTCTCTTGACCCCCATCTTATGAACCAATTTGCTTCTATGTGTCTTACACAAAACCTGAAGTGTGCCTCAGGAATAATAATTTAGATTGAGTCAATCAATCCCTAAAAATAACATTACAAATAAACTGAGTAAATAGCAGCAAATAACAGTACAAAGAAACTAAGAAAATGGCAGGAAATGACAGTACAAAGAAGCAGTATATACCTTTTGTATATCTTATATAAATATGATCCCTTCACCCATTTTGAGGTCCAATGAATTCTGCAGTTGACCTAAGAACACCTTCCAGGTAAGTTTTGTTTCTTTATCAACAATAGCCCAAGCAAATGAATAAAAATGATTGGCAGAATCTTGACCAACAGCTACCAAGAGCTGACCTTTAGATTTCCCTTTCAAAAATATTTCATCAAATCCAATGAAAGGTCTCAAACCGCTCTTAGACCCAGACTTCATTGCTTGAAAACAAATATACATCCTTAAAAACCTTCTTTTGCCTTTTTCAAAAGCATATTTTGATAAGTTAATTATTACATCACTCCCAGGATTGTTAAGTGTCAGTTCATTGGCATAAGCAACTAGCTTATTATACTTATCTAAAACACTACCTTTAAGTTTCTCCAAAATTAATTTCTTTGCCCTATTGCACTTAGATTCACTAATATTTACTTTAAATGCAGCTTTCAAGCTTTCCCTCATCTCTTTAACCTTAATTTTGGGATATCTTCCAAGCATTTTTTTTAAGTAAGAAGCTACTGTATTTGCATCTTCGCATGTGTGCTTTGGCTTTAAAGTCTTGAATTTAACCCCACCCTCTGAAGAACCTTTAGATATATGACAAACAAAGGGGTAGTCACCAACACAAATGTACTTAAGCCTTGTTGGGTCACTTTTTAGTTGTTGCAAGTCATATCCATTTGCAAGAGAATACATGATGCTCATTTTCCTAGCTTCGGGTGTATCTTTAAATGTCATTGACCTATCTAACTCTTTATAGTTAGTTAACTTATCATTGATGTCCCTATTCTTTTGTATAAAAGTTTCTCCAATCCATCAGAACTAAATTCAGGAGAATCAGATTCATCTTCCTCACTTTCATTATCACTACACTCAGTAGCAACTTCAACTTCTATTGTGTGTGACTCACTGTGAATGACTATATTAGGTATATCAATTACTGGTACGCACTCTTCTATAACAAACAAATTATTAACATTACACTGGTCACTAACAAAGTCCAACAAAGTCCTAATCCCATCATCCCCATCTATTTTATAGTATCTACCAGAAGGACCCTTTAATATTAGTTGTTGCACCCCTATATACCCAAACTTGGTATCATATTCATCAATTAAATTAGCATAAGAGAGCAAGTCAGAGTCATAACCTTTCATCATGTGCACATACTTCTCTAAATACAACAGTTGTGGCTTACTAGTCCAATCCCCACCATGCTGAAAAACTATCAACTAGCACTATCTTTAAAATGATGCATAGTAACCATGAATAAAGTTATTACATCACCATAGTAAGTTCATAAATAAATAACAAAGAAAAGAGGTAGATAAATAATAAATAAACATGAAAAGCAGAAGGAAAAGCCTAAATAAACAAAATAGGGGGGAAAATAAAATAGGGAAAAGGTATAAAGATAGATTCATAAAGAAAAAAATTTAACGAGATACTATGATAAAGAAAAGGACACAATCATTCATAGTGGGGACCACACAATAAAGTATCAAACCTAGAGTCCCTCCTCAATAAAATAAGCACAAAACAGATTTGTATGAGACCCACATGAGCATCATCTTCAAAGTAAATGCAGGTGAAATAGGGGACCAAATAACAACAATTCAACTATTAACAGATACTTTAAACCTTTTCTTTTAGTTAAATACCAACCATATGAGACACTTCTTTAAAACACAAAAGGGACCACACATACTTGAAACCCTAAACCAGATAAAATTCTTTCAAAACAGAGGAATAATAAATCAGATATCGTCAATTCTACCAATATACCCTAACCGACCAACAGAGACAGACAAAAAAATTAGGGTATAAAGTAGAAAGTCACATGCAAACACAAACAACGATAAAAACACAGACAAAGTAAAACCCTAAATGACAAATCACATATCTAAATACATAAAAGTGTAATACCTAAACGACGAAGCACAAATCTAAAAACCCTAACTTTAACAGAAAATATTTGTGCAACCCTAAGACAAAAATGCATCATTTATAAACAACAAACATATGAAAATAGCAGAAATCTTTAGATTTTGGGGAAAAATCTAACCTTGGACTGCATTAACCACTGAAAATGGAGGATTTTGTTTTGAACCTTCCACACTCTTCTCTCTTGTTTCTATCGAACATATGTAAACCAAATGACCCTCTTTATCAATTTAGACGGGTCTAAGTTATTTATTTAGTTGCAAACGGGTCACAAATGGGAGATGGGTGATGTGAAGTGGTCTGTGGGGTTTTAATTTGGTGGAGTCGAGTGACTTGGCAGTTGGCATGGAAACAATTGAGGGGGGCAACTGCCACGGTGTAGATCCTCTAAGGTTAGGGAAAATTTTTAAAAGTTCATTAACAGTAGGGGCTAGATTGGACGAATAGTATAACGGGTGGCAGAAGTAAATAATATAGTATAGTAGAGGGACAATTTTGGACTTTTCCCCTTATTTTTATACTACTTTCCAGAGTTTTTCACATATATATCCTTATATGTTCTAGATCCGCCTCTGTAAATAGGTGGTAAAGAAGAGAAGAACAAAGAAGCAGAGTATTTTAGAAAAGCATTCAACGAAACGATACATTATCTTGCTTTAGTTGGTATAGAGGATGCATTTCCAATACCATTACTCCAATGGCTAGATTTGCAAGGGAATATTAAGGTCATGAAACGTATAGCTGATGAAATGGACGTTATTCTTTAACGTTGTCTAGATGATCATACTAAAAAGAGGAAAATGAATGATTCTTCTGGTGGTGCTGGTATTGATAATTGTATACGGCCAAAATCGAGCTTGTCCTTCGTATGACTAATCGAGACTGGAACAAGATCAAGGTTCAACCTCGTATAATATCGAGCCATGATGCGAAGTTAGATTGTCGGGCTCGTGACTCAGAGACCGATCGAGTTCAAGATCGGCCAAGATCGAGATCGAGCAAAATAGAGACCGATCAAGATCAAGATCGAGCAAAATAGAGACTGATCAAGATCGAGATCGAGCAAAATAGAGACCGATCAAAATCGATATCGGCCTCGATTGAGGAAAGCTTATCGAGCCAAAAAACAGAAAGCCTAAATATCAGTAATTGGGCGAGAATCTCGGCGGAAATCCTAGTGCATATCAAGGAGAGGCCAATTAATTAATATATCATGAGATTCCTTACTATATTTAGAATTATATTAAGAGTAGGACTTCCCTACTATATAAAGGGGGTCTGATCATTCGTAGAGAGAGAGATCATTTATGCAATACAAAGCAATACACTGCCTTCTTTCAGCTTCATTATTTTGTTACTTTGTTCATATATTAGCGGAATCTTCACTTGGTTCTAGGGTGATCGAATTTGAGGGCCAAGGCTAATTGATTCATTTGGTTTGCATTTATTTCTTTTACAGTTAATTTCAATACTAATATATATTTTCTCAATTTGTGCCAAGTTATATGACGCATCCTTAGAGTCGCGCATAAATTTAATTGTTATCCGTTTTTCGGGTAAATAGTTTGGCGCCCACCCTGGGGCTAAGGATAATAGTGGTTATTTGATACAAATCTCTATAAAACACACAATTTTATACTTGCTCTTTGAAGTGTCCTTGATTTCAGGCTAAAGATGACAAACTCTCAATTACTGCCCTTGCATATCGACAACGGATCTGGCCATCAAGGTGAGAATAACAACGTGATGCCTTGTGATATAAGGCCACCCGCTGACCCCGTTGGGACTCGGGTCTTGGATCCGATTGACATTAATTCACATATAGCCATCGACACGAACCAGCATACTGGTCCCGAAAACAGCGTCCATGGTGGAACCCGATCTGCAGCTCGAAATACCCAAAATATCAGAGAAGACGAGATTAGCCTACGAATGATCTTCGAAATGCTGCAAGCTCAACATGTGGTGATAGCTAAGTTGCAGAGACAAACCCAGGAACCGAGCAAGGCTGAGCCCGGTCCACCCCAAGAAGTCACCCATAGAACGGGGCCAGTCGTGGTAAGATCAAATGAACAAGAATCGGGGATTAACCCCAAAATTATAAAAAATGCTCGAGGAACTGACAAAGCGGATAGAGTCAGTGGAAAAGAAGATCAAAGCAAACGACAAGAAGGTGGAAACTTTTAACTCCAGGGTTGATCAGATCCCAGGTGCACCACCAATATTGAAGGGTTTGGATTCCAAAACGTTTGTACAAAAGCCCTTCCCCCCGAGCACGGCTCCCAAACCGATCCCTAAGAAGTTCCGCATGCCCGAGATTCCTAAGTATAATGGAACGACTGACCCTAACGAGCCACCTCTTACACGTGTGTGATTAAAGGGAATGATCTAGAGGACGAGGAAATCGAATCTGTGCTACTAAAGAAATTCGGGGAAACCCTGTCAAAGGGAGAAATGATATGGTACCATAATTTACCACCTAACTCTATCGATTCTTTTGTCATGCTTGCAGATACTTTTGTAAAAGCACATGTCAGGGCCATAAAGGTCGAGACTAGGAAGTCGGACCTTTTCAAGGTAAAGCAGAAAGATAACGAGATGCTCAGAGTGTTTGTGTCTCGGTTTCAAATGGAATGAATGGATCTACCACCGGTCGCCGATGATTGGGTCGTTCAAGCTTTCACTCAAGGACTAAATTAACGAAGCTCAGTGGCTTCACAGTAGTTGAAGCAGAACTTGATTGCGTACCCGTCTGTTACCTGGGCCGATATACATAATCGATATCAATCGAAGATTAGAGTCGAAGACCACGAGCTGGGGGCTCCTTCCGGGTCCGTTTATCCTATCAGGCTCGTTGACAAAACCAAAAGGGACATTGATTGAGAACCAAGGTTGAACAAGGATCGATACCAGCCGTATAATGAAGATCGTATGGGCAACGGACCGGTGCGTAACCCTGTACGAGGTGAAAGGAGAAATGATGGAGGCCAGACCTCTCAAAGACTCATGAGCAAGAATAGTTTCGACAGGCATACCGGACCTACAGAAGTACCATGATTGTCAGAATATAACTTCAATGTTGATGCATCCGCCATCGTATCGTCTATCGGACGCATCAAAGATACTAAATGTCCTCGACCTCTACAGACCGATCCAGCCCAGAGAAAACCCAACCAAATGTGCAAGTATCATAGCAACCACAACCATAGAACGGAAGATTGCAGACAGGTGAGAGAAGAAGTAGCCTGGTTATTCAACAACGGGCACCTTCGGGAGTTTCTAAGTGATCGAGCCAAGAATCATTTCAAAAATAGAGAATCCAATAGACGAAATGAACAAGAAGAACCACAACACGTTATTCACATGATTATCGAAGGGGTCGATGTTCCCCAAGGGCTGGTATTAAAACGTGCCAAGGTGTCGATCACAAGGGAGAAGCGAGCTCGGTATTACATACCAGAAGGAACCTGGTCCTTCAACGACAAGGATGCAGAAGGGATCATGTAGCCTTATAACGATGCTCTGGTAATATCTGTACTAATGAATAAGACTCAAGTTAAACATGTGTTAATTGATCTAGGTAGCTCGACCAACATCATTCGGTCGAGGGTTGTAGAACAACTCGGCTTACAGGACTAAGTTTTGCCCGTGGCCCTAGTGCTAAATGGATTCAACATGGCATGTAAAACTACTAAGGGCTAGATAACCTTGTCGGTAAACGTGGCTGGGACCATCCAAGAGATAAAGTTCCATGTGATCGAGGGCGACATGAGGTATAACGCCCTGTTCGGGAG